CCTTTGACTCTTACTGCATCATCTTTCACCTGATAGCTTCTGCAGCTCCAGTTTTATTATTCTCCCAGTATCACAGATATAGCACTTTAAGGGGATAAATCCCCTCACTTCACAGAGGAGGAAAATGGAATCCAGAGACATTAGGTGATTTGTTCAAGGTCATTCTGGTATTAAACATCAGTGCTAATCCCACTGTACTTTGTTGCCTCAAAGTAGACAATCAGCTACTTTCCCTCCAGCCATTCCACTTCCCTCCTCCTCAGAAAGAACCTGAATCCTGGTTTTTAGCTCTCAATGTGAAGTGGTACTTCTTTCATTTATTTTCCTTCTGACATTCCTTTATTCTCTAATTTCCTGAAACTTCACATTCCTTTTTTACCTTACCTGGGGATTCCTTTTGGCTATGAGCTGGACTAAATGGTTACAGAGTTCCCTTCTAAATGTCAAATTCTGTGACTGAGTGATACTTCTTCAAAATCTGCAGTGAATGTCAGATTATGTCTAGTTTTATTCACTATCAGAAATCCTAAGAGATAGGACTTATTCTACCCTAGGGTGCCCATATTTTTCAACCTAGCAATAGTTTCTTCTCTGTTAATAAGAATGTAGTCAAGGGCAATGTCATGCATAATGAGGGACAGGTGGAGGGACCAGCTATTGAGAATTCCTCTTTCATGTAGCTCACATAGGACATTCTTCATGACACTGGCTAATTCCATTCCGACATTGTCATCTGGCATCAGATTTTTTTTAAAGAAGTACTTCACTGTTCCTGAAATCCTGGAGTGTGGAGAGTGCTTCATCTTTACTTCTGACTGCTTATGGGCATTTACTCTTTACCCTAATCCTTATTCCTTTATAGACCTTTATAGACCCTTATGGACTTAGGCTGACCTTTGTCACTTTTTTCTTTTTTTATGTTTCAGTATTTTTTCATTTAGTATTTTATTTTCCCCCAATTACATGTAAAACCAATTTTTAACATTTTTTTTAAAACTTTTGAGTTCCAATTTCTCTCTCTTCCTCCCTCCCCACACTCCTTCATTGAGAAGGTAAGTGATTTCTTATAGGTTATACATGGGTGGTTATGCAAAACTTATCCATAATAGTCATGTTGTGGAAGAAAACATAGGAAAAAAAACTCAAGAAAAATAAAGTTAGGAAAAAGTATGCTTCAATCGGTATTCAAACACCATCAGTTCTTTCTCTGGGGATGGATAGCATTTTTCATCATAAGTCCTTCAGTATTGTCTTGAATTGTTATATTGTTGAGAAGAGCTAAGTCATTCACAGCTGATCATATTACAATATTGCTATTACTTTGTATGCAGTACATATCACTTGGCATCAGCCCATGCAAGTCTTTCCAGGTTTTTCTGAGAGCATCCTGCTCATCATTACAATATGATAGTATTTCATCATAATCACATACCACAACTTGTTCAGCCACTCCCCAATTGATGGGCCTCCCCTCAATTTTTAAGTCTTTGCCCCTAGAAAAGAGCTGCTATGACTATTTTTGTACATAATAGGTCATTTTCCTTTTTGTTTTTTTAATCTCTTTTGGGATACAGATCTAGTACTAGTATTGCTAGGTCAAAGAGTATGTATGGTTTTATACCCCTTTGGGTATAGTTCCAAATTGCTCTACAGAATAGTTGAATAAGTTCACCCCTTCACCAACAGTGCATTAATGTGTCATTTTCCCCACATCCCCTCCAACATTTGTCATTTACTTTTTCTGTTCTATTAGCCAATCTAATAGCTATGAGGTAGTACCTCAGAATTATTTTAATTTACATTTCTCCAATCAACAGTGAGTTAGAGTATTTTTTAATATGGTTATAGATAGCTTTGATTACTTCATCTGAAAACTGATCATATCTTTTGATCATTTATCAGTTGGAGAATGGCTCTTATTTTTATGTTTGACTCAGTTCTCTATATGTTTTAGAGGCCTTTATCAGAGAAACTTGATTCAAAAATTTTTTTCACAATTACTATTGCTGCTTGTATATCCCTCCATCATACACTTCCCCCTGCATTTATTCTATTCTCTCTTTCCTTTTACCTTGTGCCTCCTGAAAAGGTTTTTGCTTCTGACCACCCCTTCCCCTAATTTGCCCTACTTTCTATCACACCCCCTTCTCTTATCCCCTTTCCTATAGGGTAAGCTAGATTTCTATACCCAAATGAATGTGTATGTTATTCCTTCTTTGAGCCAGTTTTGAAGAGAGTAAGGTTCATTCACTCCCCTTTACCTCTCCCATCTTCCCCTCCACTGTAAAAGCTTTTTCTTGCCTCTTTTATGTGAGATAATTTACCCCATTCTACTTCTCCTTACCTCTTTCTACCAGTACATTCCTCTCTCACCCCTTAATTTTATTTTTTAGATATCATCCCTTCATAATCAACTCATACCTGTACCCTCTGTCTATATATACTCCTTCTAACTACCCTAATAATGAGAAAGGCCTTATGAGCTACAAATATCATCTTATTATATAGGAATGTAAACAGTATAAGCTTATTAAGTCCCTTGCGATTTTTCTTTCCTGTTTTGCCTTTTTATGCTTCTCTTGAGTCTTGTATTTGAAAGTCAGATTTTCTTTTCAGTTCTGGTATTTTCATCAAGAATGCTTGAAAGTCCTCTATCTAATTGAATGTCTATTTTTCCCCTCATGGATTATACTCAGTTTTGCTAGGTAGCTGATTCTTGGTTGTAATTCTAGCTTCTTTCCCCTGCAGAATATTATAGTGAGGCCCTCCAATCCTTTAATGTAGAAGCTGCTAAATCTTGTGTTATCCTGACTGTGGCTCCACAATACTTGAATTTTTCTTTCTAGCTGCTTGCAATTTTTTTTCCTTGACCTGAGAACTCTGGAATTTGGTTATAATATTCCTGGGAGTTTTCATTTTGGGATCTCTTTCAGAAGGTGATCAGTGGATTCTTTCAATTTCTATTTTACCCTCAGGTTCTAGAATATCAGGGCAGTTTTCCTTGATAATTTCTTGAAAGAAGATGTCAAGGCTCTTTTTTTTTTATCATGACTTTCAGGTAGTCCAATAATTTTTAAATTATCTCTCCTGGATCTATTTTCCAGGTCAGTTGTTTTTCCAATGAGATATTTCACATTGTCTTCTATTTTTTCATTCTTTTGGTTTTGTTTTATAATTTCTTGATTTCTCATAGAGTAATTAGCTCTACTGCTGCCACTGATTCAGTTGTCCAAAGGTCTGTTCCTAATTTGCTGGGGCCTAGTCTATGCACCCTGGTGCAACAGACCTTTCCTACTGACCTTTTAAGTTCTTTTGCACTGGAAATTTGTTTCACTCTCTTTGTGGGTTCTGCTGCTCTAGAATTTGCATAGAGTCATTTTTAAAAGGTTTTTGGAGGGGTTTGGGGGAGAACTCAAGCAAATCACTGCTTTTACTACACCATCCTGGCTCTGCCCCCCTCTCTAGTGTTTTTAATAGGAATGAGTATTGTATCTCATCAAAAGCTTTTTCTCCATCTGTTGAGATAATCTTATGATTTCTGTTAGTTTTGTTGTTGATATAGTCAATTCTGCTGATAGTTTTCCTAATATTGAACCAGCCCTGTATTCCTGGTTGAAATCCTACCTTTTTACCTAGACAAGTACACTCACTTTCTTTTTCCTCCTCTTATTAACCTCTTTTTCATTTTACTTATTAATTTCCTTTGCCAACATGTTTTGCCTAACAATTTGTTTACTTATGTTTTTTCATTTACCTTGGGTTGCCAGTTCTTTCCTCTTAGATTTTTTTTTCTTTTAAAATCTTTTCAGTCCTCTTCCCCATTCATTCTGAATCCTCCTTCAGATTAACTTTTCTTTTACACTAATCTTTTTTCTTCTTTTTTCAGCTCCAATTTTTATCATTCAACTTTTGCTTATTCTACATTTCTCCTCCTCAATTTCAATATTTGTCTTCCACAAGTTTAGAGTCTTCCCCTTAACCTTCACATGTTCCATCTCCTTATTCAATTCAAGGACTTCTTTCTTCTTCTATTGCTTCTCTCAGTACCTTCTTCCACAGAAGGTGAAAGTTGAAAATAGAAAAATTATGACATACGTGGTGAAATAGTAGAAAGAACAGTGAATTAGGAACAATAAAATCCAAGCTCTATTTGTGGTTTTACCACTGACTAAATAGATGCAAGTTACCTAGTCTCTCCAAACCTCACTTTTCTCATCTGTTATATTCCCTAGCTCATAGTGTTGTTGTGAGGATAAAATGAAATGAAAGATATTAAAATCCTAAATAAACTATAGTTTATCTACATACAAGAGATTATTATTATTTTTATCCTTTCTACTCTGAAGAGATTTTCTTCAATAGAGGAGGCAGAATTCACCAGACAACAATGTTGTTGTTGTTGTTGTTGTTGTTTTTCTCAGCACAAAGAACAGAAGATTTTTACAAATTTTATTTCTTTTTTCTTTTTTTTTTTTTTTAGATTGGGAGACTGGGCATGAAAGCAAAGAGTCAGTTTCAAAACAGGACATTTCAAATGAAGAACTGTTCCTGGGAAGATTTATAAGTGATGATCCTAAGAATTCCCAAGGACAAGTTTGGGAATGTAATGTCAAGTTAAAGAAACATCAGGGTAATCAGGAGAGACATTCTGGGCCGGCAGTTGACCACACAAAAACTCCTGATATGGTAAGAGACCATGGTTTTAATAAATTTCAAGGAAGCTTCATTCTAGGGTCAATCTTTGCTACCCAAAAAACGGATTCTATGAGAAAAAAGTTCCATGAATATGACGAACATCAAATGATCCTTAATGAGTATTCAGACATTCTGAAACAAATCCCTTTAGAGAAGACACCTCAAAATAATGACTCTGAAGAAACCTTCTGTCAAACCTCAAATTTTATCCAATGTAAGAGCACGGAGACTGGGGAAAAAACATACGAATATGATGAATGTAGGAAGGCCTTCAGCCAAAACACATATTTTACTCAACATCAGAGCAATCACACTGATGAGAAACTCTATAAATGTAATGAATGTGGCAAAGCCTTCAGCCGAAGTACTTTGCTTATCCAACATCAGAGTATTCATACTGGAGAGAAACACTATAAGTGTAATGAATGTGGCAAAGCCTTTACTCAGAGAACACACCTGGTTCAGCATCAGCGAATCCACACTGGGGAGAAACCTTATGAATGTAATGACTGTGGAAAGACCTTCAGGTACAGATCAAATCTTACTCAGCATCAGAGAATCCATACTGGAAAGAAACCCTACAAATGTAATGAATGTGGGAAAGCTTTCAGGGAGAGCTCATCTCTTATTCGACATCAAATCATTCATACTGGAGAGAAAACATATGAATGCAATAAATGTGGGAAAACCTTTATTCACAGTTCATCTCTTAGCCAACATCAGAGGATACACACTGGAGAGAAACCCTTTAAGTGTAATGAATGTGGGAAAGCATTCAGTAGTAGCTCATCCTTTATTAAACATAAGAGAATTCATACTGGAGAGAAACGCTATAAATGTAGTGAATGTGGGAAAGCCTTTAGCCAGAGCACACATGCTATTCAACATCAAAGAATCCATGCTAGAAAGAAACCCTTTGAGAATAATGAATATGGAATATCTTTCAGTAACAGCTCGTCTTTTATTAACAATCAGAGAATTAATATTGGAGAGAAACGATATAAATGTAGTGAATGTGGAAAAGCTTTCAGCCAGCGCACACATGCTATTCAGCATCAAAGAATCCACACTGGAGAGAAACCCTTTGAGTGTAATGATTGTGGGAAAGCCTTCAGTAATAGTTCATCCGTTATTAAACATCAGAGAATTCATACTGGAGAGAAACGATATAAGTGTAATGAATGTGGAAAAGCTTTTACCCAAAGCACACATGCTATTCGGCATCAAAGTATCCACACTAGAAACAAACCCTTTGAGTGCAATGAATGTGGCAAAGCCTTTAGTCAGAGGACTCATCTTGTTCAGCATCAGCGAATCCACACTGGGGAGAGACCCTTTGAATGTAATGAATGTGGAAAAAGCTTTAGGCACCGTTCATCTCTTACTCAGCATCAGAGAATCCATACTGGAGAGAAACCTTATGAATGTAATATGTGTAGGAAAGCCTTTAGATCCAGATCATCACTTACTAAACATCAAAGAATTCATACTGAAGAGAAGTTATATGAATGAAATGCATGTGAGAAAGCCTTCAATAAAAGTTTATCCTTTATGAACATGAAAGAATCCATATCAAAATGAAATCCTATAAATGTTGGCCAGTAATGTTGACCATGTTGTTTACTTAAGACATATTTTTAAAAAGATACTTAATGATTCATGATTTTATTAGCGTGGATATTCCTTTTACTCCCTCACAACTCTTTTTCATCAGTAGATAGTTTGACTCTAGGCTTTGTCCTGTTTCAAGGTCTGGCAAAGCAAGTTTCTGCTTCATCTAAGAGATTTTTCCTCCACAAATTATTGCTTATTTTTGCCAATTTGTTTTTTCATATAAATTTCACTATTACTTTGTCTAGTTCTAGATGTATTAAATTTGTTAATTAAATTTGTTTATAAATAACTGATTAAATGATGAAATATGAACATTTTTACTCTATATTTATTCAACTCACCCAAGTGTAAAGTAGTTCCCTCCAATTGCTTAATCCCTTTGGTTCTGCCCTAATAATTTTGTATAATTATTTTTTTACAAAGGTTTAGTATGAGTCTTAGTGAATTAATAACCACATATTTTATTTTTGTCATTATTGTAGATGACAATAAATGACTTTGCCAGCTTTATCATATATTCTGCTGCATTATAAGAACTCTTTGTCTCAATTTTTTTTAAGTCCTTGGATTTTCTGTTTACACAACATTCCATCTACATGGAAAGATGCTTATTATCAATGTTATCCCTTTAATTTGTTTTTATTATTATTATTTCAAGCACTTTTGAAACAATGTCAAATAGAAGTGGTAAAATTGGAGACATGGTTTATTAAATTGGTTTTACTGGGAACACTACCAATGTTTCTCTGTCATATATTAATTTTTGGTTTGAAGTAGATGTTATTTTATCATGTTAATGAAAACCATTTTCCCTCTATTCTTTGTACTATAACTAGGTACTGCATTTTGTCAGAAGCCTTTTCTGTGTCAATTGATATTAGTCAAAAACCTTGGGATTGGAGTGCCTATGTGTAAACAGTGGTGGTGGTGGTATGGCAGTATTGGTGGTATTGGTGGTTTGTCCTTTGTTTTGGAAGAGGACCATGACATCAGGAAGATGATGCTATGACTTGCAAGTGAATTGGATTTAAGTGAGGGAGGGCTGTGCAAAGTCACTAGCCTCACTTTCTCCTCCAGAGCCATCTGGGTCCAGGGGTCAGATATAGATCAGAATGACTGGAGACCAGCACGTGGAAACAATGATAAGGCATGAATACTTAAGAGTAAATGCAAGTACACAAAAGGGAAAGCACTCCTCAAAGTAGTAATTGTCAAGCAACCACCACCCATACAAAAATAGGAATTTTACTTTCAATAGCATCAAAGAAAGTAAAGGTTGTATGAAGTATGTGAAGGGGAAGAAAAGGTCAGCCAATTGAACACAGTGAAAAAGGATGATGTCCCTTTATAGACCATATCATATCTATCTATCAGATATGTCTATCAGTGATGTAGGCCATCTTAAAGCCCATTGCTCTCCTTCCCTATACAATCTTTGGGCCTAAAGTCCTTCATGCTGACTGTTGGACAAGAAAGCCCTGAAAGTGATCCAGTCTCTGAGGAGATCTCTTTGGCTCCATTCCATAGTGCCAGATCTATCTATCATTCCCTCATTCCTTGCCCTTTTGATCCTCTACCACCCCTCCCCCACCCCATACATCAGCACATTCTGTAGTCTACAAAGGAGGATTCTAGAGATAATGAGTCCTTTCTTTTGGGGGATCCAAATCTTCCTTATCCTCTGGCAGCTTCACAGCCAAAGTAATTGCTTTCATTTCTGTCATTTCTACCTATGCTTCTTTCCTCTCCACATATTCATTCCCTTATCTAGTCCCTTTTTCCCTACCACTATCTCATTCATTTCACCTCCTCTATAGAGGATGTATCCATATTGGAGGACTTCCTTTAGCTTTTTAAAAATTCTTTGCTCTATGCAACTCTTAAGTTGTTTGTCCCTCAAACTGAAACATCACTAACCCACTTCCCTTTCTGGTCATTTCCAATAAACTAGTTGAAAGTGAGCACTGTTGTTTAAACCTATGTATCCCTAGTGCCTTGCACATAGAAGGCACATAATAAATGTTCATTGAATTGGCCTACATTCTTTGTATTGTGCCACCTCTTACAACACATATGAATAATTATAATGTGAATTGAAAGATAAATTTCCGATAGATATATGAACCAAATACTGTGGAAGGTCTGAGGGGCAAAACATCAGTACTAATGGAGAAAAATCACAAAGAATTCACAAGGTAGAATTTAGACTTGGCCTTAAAAGTATAATTTCAATAGACATATTAAACAACTATATTCAAGACATTATGCTAGGTGCTAGGGATACAAAGAAAGGTGAAATGCAAAAAGGGATCTCAAATGGAAAAAGTTTAAGGAGCTCTGCTCTAACATCACAGGCATCAAAATGGAGAGTAATCTTAAGAATGTAATGAATGAAGAGAAAGTCTTTTAAAAATATCTTATGTGGTTAAATATTCTATAATGAAAATATTCTAGTTTATGAACTATGATTTTGTTTGTAGTTGTAGAGATAAACGTGCTCTGTTTCTACTTTGTTTTTCCATTTTCTTTTAAACATATGGGCTGCTACCAGATAGCAATATAATTGTCCAAGCTAGAGAACCTGTTGGTCTAACTCCAAACTTTCTCAGAGAAACTAAATTAGCTTATTAAACAAAATTTTTCATAATAAAGAAATGTATCTTTAAAAATATATTGTGAACAAAAGAACCAAATAAACATTAGACATTTTCATACTTGTGGCAAGGTATATAAAAGGTAAACTAGAGAGATCTAAATTTAATCTGATTTTTCTATAGGAAAAAGATTATAAAAGGGGTCAAATTCCTAGCAAAGGCCTTTGATTCAACTTTTAACACGTTGAAAAATCCATATGTTGTGATTAAATGCTTCAATTATAAACAACATGCTTATGTGATATATCTTTCTAAAGTATGCATAAACTGATTTAAAAAGGCAACACAAGAAATCACTAAAATAATATTTAATATGATATAGTATCATTGTGTGCTATATAAAGTTTTTGCATTTTGTAAAATTCCTGACATTTTTACAAGCATGAAATTAGAATGTGAAAGATCACTTTCAGGATGATGGAATCTACCCAAACAAGGGATTCTTTGGGGAGACTTTCATAGGTAACTCTGAGAAATCTTTAGGGGTAATTTAGGGCCAATCATTGTCTTTTTGAGAAACTGATTCAGGGATATTGTTTTGATTATTTCATTTGCTCACTGTACATTTCTCTTTAGGAATAAGCATTGGTATTATATATAGCTGTGAAAGAGCTGGTGGCCCAGTGGATATAGCACTAGGCCTATAGTCGGGAAAACATGAGTTCAAATCTGTCCTAAGACACTTCTTACTAGCTATGTGATCTTGAGTAAGTCACTTAACCTGTATCCTAATAGTAACACCTTTCTCGAATGATTGTTGTGAGGAGCAAATGAGGTAATATTTGTAAAAGCACTTGGTATGGTGCCTGGCACATAGCAGGCACTATATAAATGCTTATTAAAATTACATATCAAATTATTAGTGTTTCTGCTATTCTTAAAAAGAAACTCTCTTCTCACTTTCTTAATCTAACATCTCCATTTCACTAATAGCTTTGTTTTGATTCCTAATGTTTTTCAGGGCAGATCTACTTTTGAAATGCATGTGCCAGACCTTATTGAGGCTGAGTTTTTTTTTTTAATAGGTTTTGATCCTTCAAACATGTTGTGTTTTCAGAACGTCAAAAGGTTTCAAAACTTTGGCTAGAATTTAATCAAACTCTAAAGATCATGGGATTTTGATTCTGAATCAAGAAAATCAAAAGATTTACTATCTGTCATAGCCCTGCTGTTGCCTTATAATAGTGAATTTCAATAAAAGCACTACATTTTTCTTTTTACAAGTGAGATTAAAAAGTAAGAAAATAATCAAAATTGAATGTTTTTTTTTTAAATTATAAAGACTTAAGCTTGGCCTCAAAGAAGAACCTGACACCACTATTTGCAGAGATGGGCTTCCACAGTCAAGGAACATTATATATCACATTCTTCTGATGTATTTGTTGGTTTTGCTGATTTTTTCCAATTATTCCTTTTAAAAAATATTTGTTATAAAGGATGGATCTCTGGGAGGGATATGTGGGAGATATGGGGAAAAGTAGATGTTGTAAAAATAAAAAAAATAACCCTCCCACTGCAGTGAAACAGATTGTTCCTGCCGAACTGGTAAACTGCTTCCCTGCTCCTAAATGAGTTTTGAGGCTATTTGTTTGGAGGGGAATTTGAGAAAGGTCCAGGGAGTTCCTGCCTCACTCCACTATCTTGGCACCAGAAGTCCTCTATTTTGGGTTCTTTTTAGGAGGTGATTGGTGGATTCATTGTTTGCTTGTTGTCTCCCATTAGACTGTGATCTCCTTGAGATCAGGGACTATCTTTTGCATTTTTATTTTTTTCTGTATTTCAGCATTTAGCAGAGTAGTTGGCACACAGTAAGCACTTAATAAATGTTTATGACTACTAATAGGTGGTCAGGGTACTGCACTGGTATTCTCATGATATCAAAAGAAAAGTGAGCAAGGCCCTTAGCATATTGGGTGGGCCCCCTAACTTGTGGGAGGACCATACGATCTTAGATTTACAGTTGGAAAGAAGTGTGAAGATCATCCAATTCTATTTTCTTATTTTGCAAATAAAGTTGAAATCCAGAGAGGTGAAATGATTTGCCCAAGATCTGTAGACAAGAGTCACATATAAGTACACATGATGTGAATAGACAGATTTCCAATAAGGCCATAGATATCCATTTGAGTATTTATGTAGTTTGGTGGATATATTTACACAACTTTCCCCCTCCTCTTTAGTCAATTAAAGTCTTTTTTATTAAATTTTCAAGAAGCAGGACAAACATATTCTTACCAGTCCTTATTAGGCCAACCCTGGAGAAGAACTTGTCATTTCCACATTTTGAGGTACAGTCCAGAAAT